GAAATCAAAGATCATGCAAGCAACTCATTGAATAGTAACCCTAGCAACCTAACTAGTGGATTACTCAGACATGATCAAAGCAAACACACATAGAGATGAAGAAAACATGATTGCAATAAAACTTAGAGTAGGAAATCGAAATACAGGGCGGCTCTCTTTCTCAAGAGGCTAAAAATCCATATATATAGTGCTAGGTCTTTCTAGAGGCGGCTAGGGTTAAGCCGGGCTTGAAAACATAAGTTTGGGCTTCAAAAAGGGCTTCGGGTCGACCGCGGCGTTGGGACGGTCGTGCGGGACGATCGGCCGGACAGTCGGGTATGTGGCCGAGTCGGAACGGTCGGGGTCGGACGGATGCGTGGTCGGCCGGCTGTGGTCGGCGGATGAATTTGGCCGATGAAATTCTCGGCCGGACGTGGGACGTTCTTCCCGGCTCGGACGGATGCATCGGCCGTGGTACGCGGATGGGTTGCGCGGCCGCGAGGCGTTTCCCGGCTCGCGCGGTTTGGTCGTGCGCGGTCGTGGCGTGGCGTTGGCCGACCGCGGGCAATGTTTCCCGGGTCGTGATTGCGTGCGGCCGAACGGTTTGGACTTTGGCCGAGACTTCAGACGGACGGACGGATTTGGCCGAGCGCGGAACATTCGTTCCTCGGCCAGCCGGACTGCGCGGTTGGGCGCTGATTCTCGATAGAGCCGTCTGGACAGTCTTCACTCTTTTGGTTGTAACTCCTTTTCTACTCATCCAAATTAGGCCATTCCAATTGCGTTGGAAAGTTAACTCAATCAGAGCACGCAGGGAACTGGTCTTGATGAAATCCATTGAGTAGATCTTTTTCTGGGCCCTCTTAAAGTTGGTGCTTGTGCATGGAGCTGGCTTGAAGTGCAAATCCTATGGTTTTGCTCCAAAATGCATCATTTCACCTGTTTAGACTCTAGACACTATAAACACAGTAAAACTACCTTTTTAGATAGAAAACCTGCCAAAAACCATTAGAAAACAATGCTAAAACAGTATAAAAAGTGGGTAAATTAGAGGTATATCAACTCCCCCAGACTTAGATCTTTGCTTGTCCCCAAGCAAAAAGAATCTAAATCCGTGAAAGAGGTTTGAAAACGTGGAAGCTCCCTTGCTCTTTTGAATATCCTGTGAAAGGTTCCTTTCCTGTATTCCACTATGAACATAGACAACATAAGGTTAGCTTCACATACACCCTGCAAGTTTAGCGAACAATACCAACCCAACTAGTCTCATCCAGCAATCCAAACTCTCTATTGCTAACCTCTTGCATAAATTTAAAGCGTGAATTCTTTATCAAGGGGACATCGATCAATTGAACTTGTTCTTACCCACTTGATCTCTCCAAGATTGCCTCTTTAAGTGCAATGAGTTCTTTTCCTCTCTCTTTCTCACATCAGAACTTTGAAAGGTCAATTTCTCCCTACTTTTCTAGGGTATCATTTTATTTTTTCTATTGACCCTTCTTTCAACCACAGGATAAGTCTTTAGCTTGTTCCTTGTTTGACTAAGGTATTCCATAAGACATGAAGGTACAGACATATGCATTCCTCATGCTTACTTGTTTTCCTTGTGCTCTTTGAGCTTTTTCTCATAAACATTACTTACCATTTGGGATGGGAGAGAGAGGAGAACTCTTTAAAGATTAGACAAATCTTATTGAAAATCAAGCAAGGAACTGTCGACATGTATGCCAACCCCCTTGACAAGAGTAATTAAGATTGATTAAGGGTGAGGTTAACTCTAGATTGCTTGGTTACCTTAGAAATTTTGCTGAGCTAGCATGTCGATCCACTGTAAGAGCTTCTGTTAGGCTTGTGCCTTTAGCTGGTTTCTGCTCTAGGGTCATGGATTGTTAGCATAACACTCTCAATTCTCAAAGCAAGTTCATAACTTCCGGACTGGTTTTTGACTCAATAAAACTTTTTGAAAAACATGAAACAAAGTGAATAAAACATAAGAAAAGAAAGAAAAATGCATTAGTAACACAATAAAACTCCCCCCAGACTTAACTTGCACCGTCCCGGTGAAAGCAAATCACATTAAGGTGAGAGGTAATATTCAAAGTAAAAGAAAAATAAAGAAAAATTCATTAAAATGAGATAGGGATAGAAAATGGAGATTTGTAAGTGTCCATTGCACTAAGTACCACTTGAGATGACTATGTGTGGCAGTGAGAAGAACTCTCTTCCTCATCTATGGGGTCATCGCCTTCTGAACCAAGCTCTGAGTCTAGTGAGAACTCACCAAGGTCAGGCTCATATGGCTCTCTAGCGGTGGAAGAAGGGCGAAAGAGTCTCTCCGGTGCAATGTGGCGAACTACACGACTAGGCGTGAGATGAAGCGAGATTGGCATTCCACTATCTTCTCCAGCTTGTTAACACGGTCTAGAGCTTGGTGCGCGCCATGCCAGTAGTGAGAACATGGCGTTCTTGGTGGCGGCGTTGAGTCTTGACTGCATGCTGAAGTGTGCGATAGGTGAGCATGGGGAATGATGGTTTCTCACTTGATGGAACATAGAAGTCTTCCTCATTGGGCTGGAAAGTGACAACTCCTGAGCGTAGGCTTGGGATGTCTCATGTGGCAGCAAGACAAGGGAAGTGTTGGCTGGACCAATTGGAAACTCATAGCAAAACCGAGTTGGGTCTTTAGTCCAACGGTTTAGGAAGTGGATGTGCTGAAGAGCATGGAGATCCAAAGGGGTTGGCTTGGGTAGTGGCTCATAGTTGGGAATGTCAATCCCCACATGCAGTACTATGGCCGTGATAAGCCTCCCAAAACGAACACAAAGCTTCTTGTTGCCTTCCAAGTCTTTAGCTAGCTTCCTCACATTGATGAATGTCTTGGCAAGTAAAAGTCCAAGGTTGGCCTTGTACTCATGCTTGATGAATGGTGTGGTGAGGATGTAGAACTCATCAGTTGTGACCTTGTTGGCTTCTTGTTTGCATTGGAAAGTGGTGGAGATGAGGCGGTGCACATAGCGAATGGCTGGATGGTGATTCTAGACACCTTTGACCTTGAAGGCAAGAATGGTTCATTGGCAAAGTGTGTCCAATCAGCAAAGGCAGCTTGTTTCCTCTTTGAGTTCTCCTTGAAGTCATGTGCTGTCTCATTGGGAAGTCCAAAGAGTTGGCATAGAGCTGAGATGGAGATGCGCCCATTGGCATCGCCTATCTTGAAGAGTAGGAGTCCATCACCAGCTGGTTGGTCTCCATTGTGGTTGGGAAAGGCAAGAGCTACTGTAGAGAGGAACTCCTTGGTGAGTTGTGAGTACTCACTACATTCTAGCTTGAAGAGCTTGCTCAAGCCTAGCTTCCTTATGTACCATGTGACATCATCTCTTATCTTGAGAAGATCAAGGGTTTGGGTGTCCATCTTCACACATGGCTCGATGTTCACCTTCTCCATTGCCTTCTTACACTTTCTTGGGTCTTGATTTTGTTCTCCAACAAAGGTTACAAGTGCCCAATCATCTTCTCCTCTTCTTGGACTCTCCACATGTTCTTGATTGCATCAATGGAATGTGGTGAAGTTGGTATTGCTGCTCTTGCATTGGAGCTACTACTCCCTAGCTTGATTTGCTTCTTTGGTGGTTCCATGAATGGGTTCTTCTTCTTCTTCATACTCTCATTTCCTTTTGTCTTTGCCATTGGTGTACCTACAAGAGCAAATTCTTGGGAAGAAATATGAGTTTGTGATTAATGCAAAAGAAGAATAAGCTAATTGAGTTGCAATAATGATATGGAATAAAGGAACAACTCAAGGCTTAATCATGAATCAAAGAGACAAAATAGAAATTTCACTTTTTCAAAATTAATTTTCGGATTTTACTGTTCATCCCAAGATTATGGTGCTTAAAATCAAAATTTTCAGCAAATCAAGAGAAATTGAGTTTCTAATCCAAGTAATCACTAGATAAACTAATGAATTGAAGTATGCCAAGCAATTTCACCTTTGAATAAGGGGTTTGGAATGCCCAATAAGTTTTGTGAAAAACTATTCAATTGTGAAATTAAACTTCAAATTAACTCTAAACCACCTAGGTTCCACCTAGCAAAGTTCATTACAAGACTATAAGGATGCTAATTTCAAGTCTAGACAAGAGTTTAGACCAAACATGAAACTTATTGAAGATTTTCGATCTTGCATAAACATAGGATTAGAGTTAGAAGACATACCTTGTGTGTTGAAAAGTGAATAAGGTTGCAAGAGCAAGTAAATTCCAATTTAGAGTTATGAACAGTAAAAGTTTTGAAATCAAAACTCTTAGAGTTCCTCTAATGGAGTTTAGGGTTTTGGAGAAGAAAGAGAGGTTCTTGTGGTTTTCAAGGGAAAGGTGAAGTAAATAAGATCTAAATCCTATCAATTTTCCTTTTCAAATTCGAATTTTGATTGAAAACCGGTTTAAGTTGGTTTAGATTGGTTAAAACCGGTTTGAATTTAATGAAAAGGGGACTTACCTTGGCCTAGAAAAGTTTGGGCCGATGGCCGATGGATTTTGTCGCGGTCGAGCGATTTGGTCGGCCAAATTCGTTTGGCCGAGAGAATTTCGGCCGAGGCCGAGCGATGTTTCCCGGATCGACCGGCACGGTCGGTCCGTTCCGATACAAAATTTCGGCCGATCGCGGCTTTCTTTCCCGGTTCGTGCGTGGCGCGAACGTTTTCTGTCGCGCAATAGAAATCCGGCCGAGCACGGCTTATTCCTTCCCGGCTCGACCGTACGGTCGGCCAGATTGGAATTTGCTCGGCCAAAATTCTCTTTTGCGCGTCCGCGGCCAATGTTTTGGCGCGGATTGTGTTTTCACACCTTTTTCTCCTTCTATCCTATCTTAAAACAAAGAAAACACAAAAGCAAAACAAAAACTAAGAAAATTAAAGAAAGAAAAGTAAAAGTACCTCATGGGTTGCCTCCCATGCAGCGCTTGTTTTAAGTCTTTAGCTTGACTGTAAGGCTTGGCGCTCAGGAGAAGATGGAGACAAGAGGCATCTTGATCCTCCAAGTCTTTTCTCCTTGCAATGAGTATCTGGTGGGTGATTCACAGCTGGATAGACAATCTCTCCATGAATGTCCCTTGGCACTACTGCCTTAGGAAAAAGCTTTAGAGTTCTTGTCACTCTCTCCTTGAATCCTTCTAGATTCTCATCAATAAGCTCCTCTGGGAATAGAAGCTTCATGTTGCGGCCAGACCTAGGTTTTCTAACCTTCCTTCTTGGCTTGGCCTCATCTTCAATCTTGGTTGATCCCTTGGGCGGTTTTGGTGTAGGGGCCTTAGTCTTACTCCTTGCTTGTTTGGCAAGCTGCTTGGGCTTAGGAATGGGATCTTCCTTGATTGTTTCTTCAGTTTCTCCTTCTTGGGGTGGCTTCAAAGTAGCTTTCTCCTCTTGGACCATGTCAACAAAAGAGTTCTTTGTTGAACACATAGGGAAGAACATACCCTTGTTCACCTTGTTGAAAGAGATTCTTTGATTGGGGAAATCAAATATGGCACCCACAGTAGACAGGAAAGGGGTTCCAAATATGAGAGGTCTATGGCTACTCTCTCTCATTTCCACAATCTGGAAATCAGTAGGGATAGAGCAATTTCCAATCTGCACCATCACATTAGGCACAAAGCCATAGGGTGTTTGTGAGAATGAATCAGCATAGTTGATGGAGATGGATGATGGCTCTATCTTGGTGAGGCCTATCTTGTCAGCTATCCTCTTAGACATGATGTTCACATTGGCTCCTGTGTCACACAAAGATTGCTCAAGAATGTTACCTTTGATGATACAAGGCACAACAAACTTTCCTGAGTTATCTGTCTTGGGGATAATCTTTGGGAAGAGTCTTCTCTTTCTAGCTCGATTGGACTCTCTCTCTGGGTAATTCTCTTCAGGCCAAATCATGCAATCAACAGTAGGTTTTGAAAGCATCCATTCTGGAACTTGGTCTTCAAATCTTTCTTCTATGGCGGCTGAGTTGCAAAAGGACTTCTTGGATTCAGCTTCCTGTCTCTTAACAGCTTCCATAGTTTGAGTGACTTGAGTCTCTAGTTTCTTCACATGAGTGGCAACAGCATCATACTTGGTGTTGAGATTGCTGAACAAAGTGTCCATCTTCTCATACATCTCTTTAGTGTTTCTCTTCTGGCCATCCATGATCTGTTGGAGGATTCCTTCAAATCTTCCCACCTTGTTGGTTTGGAGGAGCTTGATTTGGTGAAGAAGCATATGGCTCCTTGGGCGGATATGATGATCTCTGCTCATATCCTTGCCTTGGCTGAAATTGACTTCCTTGAGATTGGTAAGGAGGTCTTTGTTGTTGTGGATACCTTGGAGGATACACTTGGTCTTGAGGATTCTCCACATTGGGGTTTCTATAAGACATGTTGGGGTTTGGGCGATAGCTTGGATTGTATCCCTTGTTCCCATAGTTTCCAATGTAGTTCACATCTTCTTCATTGGCTTCATTAGAGAATCTCCCATGCATTCTCTTGATGAATCTTCATTAGCATCACTCATCCCTTCTATTGCATTGATATGCTTGAGCTGTCCCTTAAGAACTTGAGCCATCATGTTCTTGAGTTCAGTCATTTGAAAAGAATCAGGGGAGCTAGTAGTGGTGCGGCTTGAGCGGTCATAATCAGGACAGTTGTTACAATCACTAGCTGCAAGATTCTCAATAAGAACCTTAGCTTCATCAACAGTCTTGGTCATGAAGTTTCCATTGCTTGCTGTATCCAATGAAAGCTTGTACTTGTGGTCAATGCCACGATAGAAGATGTTCCATAGGTTTCCCTCATTGAAACCATGATTAGGGCAGTCCCTAATGTACTCCTTGAATCGATCTAGCGCCTCATAGAAAGACTCATTGTTGCCTTGGCGAAAGTGGAGATCTTGTTTCTACAGAAATTGATCTTTGCTTGGTGTAGAAGTGGTTGATGAATGCAGCCTTGTACTCATCCCAAGTGGTGATGGAGTGAGCTGGCAGAGACTTCAACCATCTTGAAGCTTTGTCGCCAAGAGAGAATGAAAAGAGCTTGCACTTAAGGTAGTCAGCAGAGACTCCATTGGATCTTGTAGTGCTGCAAATTTCTTCAAAGTTTTCTATGTGATCAAGAGGGTGCTCAGCTGGAAGTCCATTGAATTGGTTCTGTCTAACCAATGCAATGATCTGAGGCTTGATCTCATAGTCATTCCTTGCAGGTGGTGGTGGATGGATAGGGTTTCTATCCATGAAGAAAGCATCGGCAGAGTCATAGTCTCCGATTGTAGGTGCTCCAGCTTGGGGTTGTGCGTTCACATCTCCAGCAGGGTCTAGGAGGAGGAGGAGGTGGATCTCTTCCTTCTTCTTGAGCGCGCGCCACTTCAGCGGCGTGAGCGCGAGCTGCTTCGTCGGCCATCTCTTGGGCTTTCTGCTTCCTAAGTTGCTTCTCAAGCTTGTCTATCTCTGGATGTTCAACTAGGTTGTCCTTGTTGGACCTCCTAGTCATGCACCTGAAAAGAGTCTTGGAAACAAGTTAAACTAAAAGGGAAAAACAAAAACAAAAGTAAAAATCAAAGAAAAGGAAATCAAAAACTAAAAATTCAAAAGCAAAAGAAAAGTAAAACAGGAAAAGGTTCTAGACTAGATCCTAGTCGAGTTCCAAAGGTACTGCTGCAGTCCCCGGCAACGGCGCCAAAAACTTGATGCGGAGTCAGGTTTTACCAAACTCCTAGACCTCTGCAAGTGCACAGATCGCGGAAGTATGGTCGAGTAGGTGGTTGAGCTGGTCTTCAAGATGATTTCCTCATTCGTCCTTTGTGTGTTCAATTGAGCTGCGTCCATGCATCAAGTCCTTTCTTGCTCCTCACGCCCCAAATGCTCCAAAGTGCTCCAAAAGACCTATTTCAAGGACCAAACATGCACATATATGCAAATGCAACCTAAAAATACTATGAATGCACAAGAAGGGAAAAGGAACAAGATATGATGCTAATGGATGCTAAAACTATGCAAAAGATGCATAAAAGATCTATTAAAACTATGTAAAATGCAATTACATCAGAGCTCACTGACGATAGTCAGCTCTTGAGTTTCAACCTTGCATTCGAGCTCATTCACGATAGTGATGATCTCTCGCTTTCGTTTTCCTTAGCCTAGAAACTCGGTTCTATCTTCTAAGCTCGAAAGTCTCTTCCTTTAGCTTGATTTTCATCCGCAATTACCTAAAGCCATCGCCTTTCTTAATTTTATCTTATCAAGTTCAAGTCTTTTAGCTCAAAATCGAAACCTTTGCCTTCGAAATCGGATTTTGGACCATTGTCGTTATTTTACTGTTTGAGATTTCAGATTTCATAAAAACCAAGTTTTTGTTCTTGGCTTGAACTTTTCTTGCATTTCTTTAAAACCCAATCTTCTCTGAGATTTGGATTAACACCTTTACTATACTGCGATGATATAAGTAGAGATTTGAGGGTTTGAATCTACTAAAAATCTTGTTTTCAGTCCGAAATGTATCTCTGTGCCTCCACATTATGGGAACATACTTGTAGTGTATATAATGAACTAGAGGGACCCATACTTACCGAAACATGGATTAATAGGTTCTATACATGACTATGAGAAGAAACCGGACTGAAACAGTCTCAATCCAAGGAAGGAACATCAATTGGAAAAAATTTGGGAACCGGAAGAGGTAAGAAGTCCGAAATGTAGCTCTCTGTCCTCACATTGTTGGAACTTACTTGTAGTATATATAATGAACTAGACAGACTTATACTTACCTAAACATGGATTAATAGGTTGTATACATGACTATGAGGATAAACGTGAATGAAACGGTCACATTCCAAGGGAGAAACATGAAATTGACCAAATTTAGGAACCAGAAGAGGTAAGGAGTCCGAAATGTAGCTATGTGCCTCCACATTGTGGGAACATACTTGTAGTGTATATGATGAACTAGACGGACCCATAGTTACCCAAACATGGATTAATAGGTTCTCTACATGACTATGAGGAGAAACATGAGTGAAACGGTCTCAACCCAAGGGAGGAACATCAAATGGACCAAATTTGGGAACCGGAAGAGGTAAGGAGTCCGAAATGTAGCTTTGTGACTCCACATTGCGGGAACTTACTTGTAGTGTATA